GCTTCAGTCTCAGAAAGCGGCAGACAGCCCAATAATAACCCTTTGCTACTCTTGTTTCTTCTCGATTTCTTTTCAAACAACCTGCTGGTTTTCCAAGAGAAACATCTGATTCCTTACTTGCACGTTAAACTTCTAGCTGAGCTACAGGAGGCGGCCAGAACTAGGACCATTAACCCCTAATAGTAGCTCAGGGTTCCTCCCAGTGAGGTGATGGCCTGCAGGCTGGCGGAGGTGATCCCAGCTCAGGAGAGGGTTCGGCCCTCCGGCCAGAGCGCAGAAGAGAAGGCTTGGGTGGGAGGGGAGCTGGGCCACTGTGAGTCCCAGTCGCCCCCCTGAGCAGCGTGTGGTGGCCCAGCCGCACGGGGAGGCACCAGCATGGGTACCGGTGAAGCTCTCGCTCAGCTTCTGGCCTGGGAACTCCTGTTGCTTTATTGCTCGGTAATCGGTCCTTTTACATCACATTCCAAGCTGGCTCTGAACCCCGGCAGGCTGTCTACCGCTCCCGAGTGATGGTTTTGAAAAGGGAGAAGTTTGTCTCTGGGACCCAACTATAGGATGGGACGCTGGGGGGCCTTCGGAGCGCTGTCCCTCTCACCAGGAGATGTGTCATTTTTTCCTTTGAGCAGACCCGTGAGCGACTGTAGTAGAAGTATACCGTATCATTGTTCTCAGGTGTCCAGGAATCTCTTAATACTAAAGCGTGACACTCAACAATGAGTAGTGCTTAATGGTCCCAATAATGTTTAACAGTACAGTACAGGGGTGAGCAAACTTTCCCTCTGGAGTCCAGACGGTCAGTATTTCAGCCTCTGGCTGCATGGTCTCAAGGCTTCCTTTTCATAGCCATCCCCCTGAGTAGCATATGACCAATAACGACGAATAGGTGTGCCCATGTTCCGATAAAACTTTATTTATGGACACTGAATTGGAATTTCATATAATTTCCACATGTCACAAAATAGTCTCCTTTTGCTTTATTGCCCCCCTCCCCCAAATTTAAAAATGTAAAATCATTTCTAGCTGGCAGGGGTTCCAAACACAGGCAGTGGGCCAGGTTTTGTGAGTAGATCTGGTTTGCCGATGACCCTTGTGTAGTGAAAGGGGCCCAAAGCGTAAGTGTCCATCCCGGGTTTGTGACCGGGCCTGGGAGCGGTGGGGCAGTTACCCAGTCTGCCCACACCCTCGATTTCCATTTATAAAATGTAAATCCTAATTCTCAAGCTCTCCTGGCAGATTAGAATTAAATGAAATAATTCGGATCAGTGTTCCGAGTGCTTCGGACACTGCACACAGTGGGGCTTGGTACGGTTTTGCTGTTATCATACCTACTGTGCTTCATCAGCATCTCACAGTGGCCTGAGGAAGTTTTGATTTGCTGCTGACCAGCAACATCTGAAGCTCTCCAAGACACTCGGGGGCAGAAATATTAGGAAAAGGTGTGTTTTACTCCATTTTAAGTTGAAGGATAACATTTCCTTACATATAGGTTGGCCACGAGGTCTAGAAACAAGGTGATATTGTTATCAGTGAATCATCTATGATGTGTGTGCTGCCTATGTTTTTGACTTTGTAGCCATCCCCTGAAAGAACATGGTCAGAGACAATGCTTGTTGTATACGTAGTACATTTGACTTCCACCTACCCTCCGGGTCACGCAGAGTATCTCCGAGTCAAGGGAAGAAAGAATGAAAAATCTCTCTTAAAAAGGACTACGAATATTTAAAATTTCTAAAAAATCTCAAACCACTCAGCTAATCAAATGATTTCACATTCTCTCGGTGAGTTCAAGTAGTTTCCTAATAGCATTTTTAGTTTTTTCCTCTAACAGCTCCCACCCTCACAAACGGTCTCTGAGCACCCCTTAGATCCCCCCTTAAATGTGAATACAGAAGCACAGGGGAAAAAGTAAGAAACTCAAAATGTAAAAAAACGTAGGGAGGGAGAAGGACATTGCTTGGAGACTTCAACACTGAGGCTTTCTATTAGGTCAGAAATGACTTTTAATTAGAATGTAATGGAACATAGACATTTTAGAACCCTAGTTTGGTTAAACCTGGAAGAGAAAATTGTGCTTAAGAGATAGGTTGACATTTTTAGAGACAGCTGGACTTCTGTTAGAGAACATAAGTTACTGAACTAAGCGAATCCATCCGCAACTGGAGGACGAGGGAAAGGGCGTAAGAGAGGGACCAGTGGAGGGGGGGAGTGGGCACAGAGCGATGTAACTGATGGACACAGAGCGGCTGGACGCTGGGCCAGGCGGGCCGGAACGCCTGGGTCCCAAGGGAGGGCAAAGCAGTGACCGCACGTTACTACAGATGTGTCACTCACCCAAGGGACAGCGGAAGACACGCACAATTGTGTCAATTACATGAAGTGGACTGTGAGTGCACAGGTGCTCCAGGTTGGAGAGCAGGTCGAGTGGCTGGAAGTGGGGATCTGAGGGGCGCAGCTGTCCTTGGGATCATGCTTCGAGCCGAATCTGCCCTCTGCTCCAGATTGGGGTCACCCGAAGCAAGCTGCAACCCTTTAGTTCAAAGTGCGTATCTTGTGACTCCACCGTGGTCTCATGGAACAGAGGCTCCAGCACACCGACCGAACAGACCAGGATATTGAGGTGAGAGTGATCCTCAGTCATTATGGGTACTGTTGCATTAAAATAGGTTTATTTATTTTCAAAGCACTCGGTCTGCTAACAAAGTGAGTGGACGGGGACTGGAAGTGGAATATGGGGATTGGAAATCGTGGGGCTCCTCTTCGTTGAACTGTCTTAATGAAAAAAAATGCCATCCGATACTTGCTGCTTAGAAAATTCAGTCTTAAGGAGCTGCTTTCAATTCCAAATGTTAACAGTTGACACAAAATACACCGTTACACTGTGTTACCAATAATTGTAGAAAAATAGACGTTTGATCGGGACATTCTAGTAAAAGGTTCTTCTGGAACATCCTGGTTTAAAGGTTCAGAGGCTCACATTACAAAAACGAGATTTGGTTCATGTTCTGTCTCCACCTACAGCAACACCGAAGACCGAGGGAGAGGGGCCTCGCCCTGGTGCCTGCCACAGACACAGGGCTGCCATGGGCGTGACCGGAGGGCTGTCGAGGCTCCGCCTTCAGCTGATTGTGCTAACAGGCCCGAGCTGAGGGTCCCACGGGCAGCAGCGTGTGTGGTGTTCATGAAGCCTTAGCAGCAGATTGAAAAAGGCCCAGTGAGTCTCCAAGAGCTAAATCAGCAGACTTTTTGCACCCCCTGCTCGATTCTGCCTTGTGCTACCATGCCAAGCCCCGCAACTCTGGCGGTGCTGCAGGGGCCTCGCCCTGGGGCCAAGAGCGCCCTTTGTAAGGCTACATGGAGGTGAGGCCGCAGGACCTCCCCACGGCCTGGCAGGGAGGGTGTGGGGCTCCCTCCTCTGCTTTGACTACAACCTCCTCCTTAGGGTGTGGAACGAAGAAGTGATTCAACAGATGCTCAATGCAGCAAGTGAAAGGCTGGCAGACAGGGCAGGGCTGCGGCCCACGGTTCCACGTTCTGTCGAGTCTGTGCCGCTGCAAAGTCTAGGAAGTAGGGGAGGAGAGGTCCCCCTGTCAAACTGAGGAGCTGCATTCCTTGTCGCCATGCCAAACTTCTCAGTCGACAGGGTCCCTGCACTGCAGCGAAGGCCTGGGCGATCGGGTCAGGGACAGCGGGGGGTGGGGACGTCTAGTTTGAGTTCTTCGACCTCCATGGGGCAAAGCCTCAAACTGAGCACAGCTGGAGGGGCTGAAAATGAACTTGAATCTAATCGATGGATATTTATGATGCATTAGGGAACAAACCGTTTAAAGTTGTAAAATTAAGGTGAAAGGTCTGTACAGTGCAAAATCTCCACCTGCCCTTTTGTCTGATATTCTCTTCCTTGTCTGTTTTCTTCTGTGAAAGTTTTTTAATACTGAAATTTAGAATTTAAGTACAAAATACCTTTCTCCTGCCCTCCATCCCTTCTCTCTCCTTTCTCTTTCCCTCCATTTATATTTGCTGATTAAAATGAATTAAGGCTGCAGTTTTTTGTTTTCTTTTGATTAAGAGACACTTTGGATTTGATTTCTAACCTGTGGCACGCTCTTGAGAGATGTCTTAGACGGTCACCAAGCTTGTTGGACTAACCTTTGAATGTTGAACATTTTGTAACCATACAAGAATGAGAGTAAGGATAAATAATAATGCAAGAAGTAGATGCATAAGCCCCCAGGGTCAGGGAGAGCGCCGGGTAAAGTCAAAGTGTACGAGGTCAGTGACACTACAGGCCTTTATGGATTTGTGGCTTCAGACCCATCCTCTGCTCACTTGCCATGTCCTATCATGATGGTCTGCAGTTCCTCCCGATTACAGAGTGGAACAGCCAAGGAATCAACGGTTTCGTGGAAGAGTCTCCCTAACTGTTGCACTACAGAAGGCAAGCGCTCACGTGGGAAGCATCTGGTGACGTGCTGAAGAATGTCCTGGAATTCTTCCCCAGGCTGGTTGGCGAGGCCCATGTTATGTTTCAACGAGAGACCTCGGTTTGTAAACATTTCACAGTAATATCAGTGTGTGGGTGGTGGGTTTTGCCATCTCCTGGACCTCCCAACGTCCCCCAGACCTATGGCTTATTAGATTCAATGAGAGGATCAGAGGGGAGAACAGTGAGGTGCCCGGACGAGCGGCCAGTCTGGGACACAGAACAAAGGCCATGCACTACAGAGCCAGACGTCAGCGGGACCGGAGAAATTCAGAAAACAAAGACACCAGCACAGAAATGCCTGCTGCACACTGAGAATTGTTTTTCTTTTTCTTTTCTTTTCTTTTTTTTTTTAACACCTTATTCCTAAAGTGATATATCTAAACCTACATTAATTATATATCTATGTACAGTATTTAGAGGTTGTTTTCTACAGCACTTTTGTACATGCTGGGTGTTAGTACTAACTGCAACAGAAAATAATCACATAAGGCCGATGTATGTACAGTGTTTCGTCTAGGCCTCGCCTGGGTCCTACCCCGCAATGGCCCCCCCGGGCAGCGCCTCGCCCTGGACATGGGACGTGTTGGGGTCTGTGCTCTGTGCCTCGCTGCATGGATGGGGAGGGCTGGAGACCGGACGCGTGTCCCAGGTCAAGTCTGGGACCCGCTCCTCTGAGTGAGCTGCTGTGCCAGGACATTGCGGGCGAGCGGCTTGGACCTCTAGGAGGTGGGCGCGGGGCGTTTGGCACCTCGCACCTTCCACGCCTCCGCGTCCGCTCGTTGGTCTGAGTGACTGAGACGGGGCAGGTAGATATTTTATACCTTGGAGAGCTGATGTCTGGTAATCCCAAAATTAAATGTGAATAAAGAGTGAAGTAGGAGAGACAGAAAAGCAAGAGGGTGAGAGACAAGGACAGGTCGTGGGGACGGGAGAGGGAGTGGCCGGCCAGGGGGCTACACTTTGGACTCGCTCTCCAGGTTGGCCACGTCACCGTTCCTTTCCGTTTGCTCCTCGAGGTTCTTTTCTTCCTCTTCGGTCTCCAGTTCCGCGTGTTGGTTGAGTTTGCTGGACACGGACCAACTGAGGGGCAGCTCTGCCCTGCCGGCCAGCTCGGCCAGCTCTTTGGCACTGAGGGCGGGCGTGCTGGTCTCGTAGGTCTCGTGGAAGCTGTTGTAGTCCACTTCGTAGAAGCCGTCCTCCAGCGTCAGGACCGGCGTGAACCGGTAGCCCCACAGGATCTCACTGGTGATGTAGGAGCTCCGGGCTTGGCACGTCATCCCTGCGGGGAGAAGAGCGGAGGTGTTAGTGTGTGCGAGAGTGGGCTCTCCGCCCCCGCGGGCCCCGGGTGGGCCGGGCAAGGCGGCTGCCTGCAGCTCTTCCCAGGGCGACCTGCACAGGGCGGCAGGAAGCGGGGTGTCGTTCGTGGTGCAGACACGTGCTAACATGCATAAGAGCCCGTGGTGGAGACCCAGACCACCCCGTGTGGTTCGAGGGAGCCGAGTGAGAGTTCCGGGTCCTGCCAGGCCTCGCACAAACACACAGGGCACAGGTGCACGTGTCCGGCCACACACCCTCCGGTGCTTGTGTCCCGTCCGCTCTTTGCTCTGGGAGAGCCCCGCGGTCATGACTCTGACCTCCCCCTGCTTGGCCTGAGTTCCTCCGGGACTGGAGTGCCTGCTCGCACACTTAGACGGAGTGTGCTCACCGAACCGCACCTCAGATGCCCTGTCGCTGGAGGCCACGCGCCGCTGTGACCCTCCCAGGGCCACGCCGTGCAGGCCCGGGGGTGAAAAACTTTAATGTCTTTTAAAATCAGAAGTAAACAATGAACTTGTAGGTAGGAAAATGTTAACGCACTCATCTTTATACTAACACAGCTGTTAAATGTAATAAAATCCACATTTTTAAAAACAGTATGTTTTTGCTAAGATTATATTTATTTTTTAGAGAGAGGGGAAGGGAGGGAGAGAAACATCAGTGTGTGGTTGCCTCTCGTGCGCCCTCTACTGTGGACCTGGCTCACAACCCAGGCATGTGTCCTGACAGGGAATCGAACTGGCGACCCTTTTGTTCGCAGCCTGCACGCAATCCACTGAGCCACACTGCCTGCCACCTTCAGACCCCTTGTGACCACTGGTGGTATGACTCAGTGTCCCCATGGGGCCACTTCTCTCTCCTGGGCCCTTCTCTGGGGGTCAGCTTGCTGCTGTGCTCCCTTCGGGCCCCAGGGAGGAGTCCCGGGGAGCACCGGGGATGGCCCCGCCCTGCCGGGCCGGAAGGTCCGGGGATCATCAAGAGGCGCCTCCTCGGTTAAGGAGGCAGGTGGTTCTCCTGCCCGGGTCCCTGCCCTGCCTTCCTCCACAGGGCAAGGGCTCCGAGAGCCCCACTCACCTGCTCTGCACCCCCCACCGGTCCCCAGACCTGGAAGTTCCCTGAGCAGATGGCCCTGATGTGGCTCCCGAGGCCTGCACAGCCTTGAGTCTCAGAGTTGACGGTGTGGACCATGGGGGGACCTGGGTGCACCTGCCCAGGTGAGTGCACGTGCCCCAGGGACCCCACTGGCTGGTAAGCAATGGGACAAGAGAGAGTTGTGTGTCCTGGGGGCCCCCCGAGGCTCCTGAGGAGATGGGGGGACCTGCTCCCTGTCACCAGGGAGTAGCAGCGCAGAAGCCTGTCCACACTGGGGGGGGACACAGTGCCCTCTTCCCGTTCCTTTAAAGGGATCTGTCCCCAGGGCTGGGGTCTGTCGGGGTGGCTATGAAGAACCCAGGGGACCCCTGATTTTCTGCATTTGGTGAAAATCATTCTCCTCTACTTTTGCCCTGTGTTCCTGGTGGAAAGACAGTTAAAGGACGTGGCTGTTTTTCCTAAGGGACCATCTGGGCCACCCCTGGTTGGTGAGGCCCCTGCACCGTGGAGAGCAGCTTCTGGGGACACAGCCCTGTGAACTCTGGGTCCGATGAGTCTTTCCTGTGGCTGTTCCACAGGCTGAAGTGCCAGGTGGGGATTTGATCAAGTTCTGGTGGAACTGGACTGGCTCAAGTTTCAAGACTCATTTTTCTAACTTGGGTGTTTTCTCTTAAAAGGAGGCCAGGCCCCTGCAAATATTTACTGGTTATTTACAGGTTACTTCATCACTCCTGGAGCCGAACTGCCGTGGTCGGCTGGGGCACAGGGCAGAGCTCCGTACGGGGCAGGCCCGGTAACCGATTTCATGGTGGCCGCGGCATGACCGAGACACTTTAGGGATTAAGTGAAAAATGAAAGCAAGAGCAGAGCATCGCCAGCATGTGGCAGGAATGCACAGCGAATTAAACGAAGAGCCAGAGCGTGTGGTCCCCGAGGACAAGTGTGACATTGCAATTTAGTTTGGACGAGGAAACCACAAGCTCCTGGAAACGCCTTCACAGGCGTGTGGGTCTCCATCGAGTTGCCGGGGCTGCACAGCTGCTGGAAATCAGTCCCAAGTACCCGCAGTGCCGGTCGTTGGAGAGGAGCTTTTCATTTGCTACCGTGTGTGGCAGGTGGGCGACAGTGATGCTGGTGTGCGACTTCCCTGTGGTGTGCAAAGCCCTGCAGAAGTGGCTGGTGGTGACAGAGAGATTCTTTTCTGCTTGTCTGCAGGATGGATGGAAGGAGAAATGCGCCCCAATACTGTGCTCATTCATAGGGACCCCCAGGCCATGTGGACCCCAGAGGCAGGGCAGATGGGAAGGGAAGCAATGCTGAGGTCAAAGACTTCTCCATGGCACAGACTCCTGCCTCATCGGGGCTGGAAGGGACTTTGGAGGCCACCCCCCACCTTCTCCTGTTACAGATGGAGAAACCGAGGCAGCATCCGCTTGCCCCAGACTGTCTGCCTGGCTGGTGGCAGAGCCTGAGGCTCATTGAGACCTCCCAGGCCCCAGGCCGGTCCTGGTTCCATTCTGCCCCCAAAGCATTAAGTGTCTCTCCAGAAATGCTGGCGCCCACACTTCAGACACAAAACGCCTCGTTCTTGCTCCCCAGATGAGTAATCGGTGTTCTGCGTTTGCATCAGCTGGAAGCTGAGCTGTGAATACTCCCAGCCCCCTTTTCAGATGAGATGTGTTTCCATGGAGTTCCCTGGCCTCAGACACTTCATGGCTTCTTAAGGGCTTAACTTGGTGGGAAGTGACCGCACCGTTCTGAGTCCCTGCTGGAGCTCAGAGGAGAGCTCCTCCGGGCAGTGCCCGGTGCTGTTTGTGTCCAGTGTCTGTGGAGATGGCAGCACGAGCTGAGGACCCAGTTCCACGAGCAGAACGCGTGACTCTGAGGTTGCTTCCCTGATCGTGAACTTGGCACCACGTCAGTCACAGGTGTGACACCTCAAAGGGTGAGCCCCAGACTCAGAAACCTCACTGGCAGTGGGGCCCTTGTCCCAAGTGGGGTGGGGGGCAGTGGTCACCCTTGCACTGGGGGCACACGCTATGTGGCCCCAAGTGCTGACGATGCGATGCACAATTTTGGGGTGAAGAGGTAGGTCTGAACGTGACTGAGAAGAGGGGAATGGAGAGAAGGAGTCTTGAAGAAGAGAAAGAGGCAGGAACAAAAGAGAGAAAGGACAGAGAGAGGACTGGAGGCAAAGCCACCCAGAGAGGTAGGGACCTTGTGCTGACCACTGCCGCAGGGACCTGCCTAGGGGGCGGGTGCCCAGCCTCAGCGTCCTCACTGCGACAGGACTCAAATGAACCAGTGTCCTGCAGCTCACCCAGTACCCGGCCACCCTCACACGAGGCCCGGGGGCTGTCACAGTTGTGGTGACCCTTCCTCAAGTGTGCCACTTCGGGCCGCCGTCTCGTACACTCCTAGCTTCTCCCGGCCTCCTGGATGGGCAGCGACCCGAAGCCTTTGTAGAACCACCAACACCCATGGAGTTGTGCCGGGAACCCGAGAAAACGTGCGAAACACCTGGGATGCTGGGTAGAAACGCAGGTGCCAGGACAGGACGAAGGCGGAGAGGGCGGGGCAGTGTGTCCTCGTTCGCATTCACAGTCTGATTTCCACCCCGTGGTTTCCCTCCCGTGATTGTGGCACATTCCACCCACGTGGCGGCTATGGCCCTTCCAGCCAGGGGCCACGGGGACAGCGGAGAAGCAGGCCGTCCTGGGGCGGGGGCCGGGAAGAAGCCCTGGTCCCCGCAGGTGCCCGGGCGCAGGCTGCGGAGCTCGCAGCACCTGTCCTGCCCCCTCTGCCGCCTGCTGCCCAAACGTGGGGTGACCCATGCCTCCAAGCCGCCTGCGTTCAGTCCCAGGTTTCGGACCGAGTGTCCCCCCGTGCCAGGGGAACCCCTCCATCCCGGGAAAACCTGGACATAGGCCATCCTGGCCCACACTTCAGCCAGGTGATCCTTTTAAACGCGCATCACCTCTCATCACACCTTGCTCCACCCCTCCACGGCCCCCCTCTTAGAGCAAGAGCTAGGGTCCTTGGGGAGGTCCAGAGAGCCTCGGGCCCGCCTGCCAGGGGGCTCAGGGGGGATCAGGCAGGCCGACTCAGCGCTGCTGTGAGCCCTGGGCCCGGTCTACACGCCTCACACCACTTTCTAAATGTCTCCCTTGGACTGAGCTCTGAGGCCCGACGGACCGTGTTCTGTGTCTGACAATACTCAGTGCCCAGTCAACGTTTGAACTAATGGTCAGGGCACCCCCAGAGTCATTTTCCTTTATCAGGACTTCCAGAGATGATGGCTCTACTTCGGGGACACAAACACCACACAGATTACACCTCAGAAAGGAAGGAACAAAGTTGGGGGCTGTTTTCAGCAAGTGACTGCACTGGTTTTAGCCTCCATCTGGCCCTGCGTGCCCTCTCGGGAGGGCTGTGTGGCCGCTGAACCACGAGGTGGCGCTCACGCTCGCCTGGCTGCTTTCTGGCCACTGGTGACTGTGCTGCACCGGGCGGGAAGCTCCGGCTGTCACCGCATATTGTCATTGCGGAGGCCTGGAGGGAAGCCACTGTAGCCGGGCATTCAGGCTGCCTCTCGGGTCCTGGGGTCCCGGCATCCCTGCAAGGGGCAGCTCCTCGATCTTTCCTGGGACCCCGGGTTTGGGAGGGGAGGCTGCCTTAGCCCTGGGTGCCTCCGCTCTGCCCCGACCTGAGAACAGTCCCCACCTGCGAGGAGAGGGTGTGTGATAGGAGTGGACATCTCGATGGGCCGGCTCTGGAGCTGTCATAGGGGCCTTTGCTTCTCCTGGAAGCAACGTCAGACCAGCGAGCAGATATCCTTGCACTGGGGAAAGAATTTGGAGGTTTGCCTAT